TAAGTATGTTATTAAAAATGGACAAAGCAGCCAGGCACAGTGGCTCACACCTGTAATCCCAGCACTTTGGGAGGCCAAGGCGGGTGGATTACTTGAGGTCAGGAGTTTGAGACCAGCCTGGCCAACATGGTGAAACCTCTTCTTGATTAAAAATACAAAATGTTAGCTGGGCATGGTGGTGTACGCCTGTAATCACAGCTACTCGGGAGGCTGAGGCAGGAGAATCGCTTGAACCCAGGAAGGCAGAGGTTGCAGTGAACCAAGATTACGCCACTGCCCTCCAACCTGGCTGACAGAGTGAGACTCCATCTCAAAAAACAAAAAACAAACAAACAAACAAAACGGACAAAGCAATCCCCGTGTCTTTTCTTCCACTTTAGAATCTCCATTATGGGAGACTGAATGTTTTGAAGCAGACATAGAAAACATCCAAAAATTCACAACTCCCAGACTGAGAGTGCATAGTTCAAAATGTCAAAAATAACTTTCATCTACAGGCAAACACAGACAGATAGAGCTCTGTATATAAATGACTTGTAAAGACTACTTATCCTTTGATAAAATAAAATGTTTTCATCCGTATACTTTTTAAGTCTGAGGACTATGTTTGATACAGGTTTTAATCTGTACTCTTAGTTCTATTTAATACATAAACATAATTAATAAAGTAGAATCTTTATTCTAACATAAAATTACTCCTCTGGCCTCAGGATGAATAGCCCTATAATTTCAAGACAATGTATTCAAGAAGTTAGGAATAAAAAAAATTCATTTTTTGAAAATCTGTGTATCTCAATATGCCTGCCCAACTCCTAGTGTAAGAGAGTGTAGAATAAAATGACAAGATGAATATTTATTCATTACCTCTTTATTTTCAGGCCTTATTCATTTGGAGGTGAAATATTGACGATCAATGTTTCCTTTTTTGCTCTCTTCCTTCTTCCTCTCTCCCTAACATGTCATCTAAACTGTGCAAAGTATTCTTACAAGTGACCTTTAGAATATAATGGACAAACCTTTTTCTGCTTATAATCATAAACCCCCTTATTTGATCATTTCTTGAGATTGCGCCAGACTCCTCCTAAGAGGTACTGAGCACTCTCTGTCACTAACTCAGTAACTGTTGAACTAGATAATGGTGCTCCAAGTGTGGTCCAGGGTCCCCTGGGGATCTCTAGCACCCTTTCATGGGGTACTTGATCTTCTCAAATACCCATGTACGTAAAAACATTTAACGTCTCTCCCTAAAGAGGAAAAATGTTTGTAGTGTAAACTCTTCTTCTGAAGTTCCAATAGAGGCTTTATAAGCTTTTAAAAAAATGTTCAAATTATTCTGGCTATCTGAAAAGAGATCATACTCTAATAGTAATTAATCTCACTCTAAAAGAATTGTTAGTAAACAACTGAGTACACATCAAATTTCACATGAAATTTGCTCTAAATAAATACTTGTGCATTGTGAATATGGTAAAGGCATGTCTCACCTTTATATTATTCTTTAAAATGCTAATTTAAAAAGAATTTGATTTGGATCTTTGAAAAGAGACATTTTAATACCCAGAAAGGCATATATTATATTGTTGTTGCTACTTTTTGACATTCGCATATTTTCATAATTTAAAAAAATCCTGAGAAGGGACACCAGAGTAGAAGACAACAGGCTGAGTCAAAATACCAGCTTGACTTTTAAAACTGCATCACAGGTTTTATAAATAAATGAATAATTTATTCACTGATATACAAGAATTTCCAAATAATAGTAAATGGTCACTGGATTGCCGAAACTACTTCTAACAATTCTTTCACCCACCATTAAAAAGTAGGTGTTATATAGATTTCCATCCATGTTTTTATTCTAAATGTACACTCTTCTCTTCTCTTTAGGGAAACTCATTTATTCCTATTGCTGCAAATCTCGATATAGCCTTTTGATATAGTTTGGATCTGTGTCCCTGCCCAAATCTTATGTTGAAATGCAATCCTCAGTATTGGAGATGGGGCCTGGTGGGCGCCGAGTGGATCATGGGGCAAATTTTTCATGAGTGGCTTAGCAGCATCCCCTTGGTGCTGTCCTTGAGACCGTGAGATCTGGTTAAGTGTGTGTCACCTCCCTCCTCACTGCTCTTGTTCCTGCTCCTGCCAGGTGAGATGCCTGCCTCTCTTTCACCATCTGCCATGATTGTAAGCTTCCTGGAGCCTCCCCAAAGGCAGATGCCCATGTTACACTTTCTGTACAGCCTGCAGAACCGTGACTCAATTAAACCTCTTCTCTTCATAAATTACCCAGTCTCATATTTCTATATAGCAATGCAAGAATGGCCTGATTCACCTATAGACTAATGACTCTTAATATATATATATATTTAATTACTGATCACTTCATGTAAATTTTTTGTTTTTTGAGACAGGGTTTCCCTTTGTTGCCTAGGCTGGAGTGCAGTGGCATGATCTTGGCTCACTGCAACCTTCGCCTCCCAGGCTCAAGCTATCCTCCCACCTCAGCCTCTCAAGTAGCTGGGACTACAGGTGTGTGTAACCACCCAGCTAATTTTCGTATTTTTTGTAGAGATGGGGTTTTGCCATGTTGTCCAGGCTGATTTTAAACACTTGGGATCAAGTGATCCACCTGCCTCGGCCTCCCAAAGTGTTGGGATTACAGGTGTGAGCCTCTGTGCCTAGCCAACATTTTGTTATAGACACCTGTCTGTGTCCAAAAGACCCTAAAACCCATCTATCAAAAGAATACATCCAATCTGTATTTCAACTGGTGATATATATTTTTTCCAAAATTTGACCATCTCTGGTAATTTTCTTTAAAAATATATCATTTATTATCTTTAGAATTTTTAATAGAAAAGGCTTTGCAAGTAGGATAATGACTAATTAAAATACGTCCATTACCTTAATGTTTAAAGTAACATTATTTGTAGTACTATTTTAAAGAGAGATTAACTAATGTATAAATAGTAAATGTGGCTTAAGAATAAAACTTGGCTTACCTTGCCTTGTAAATGAATATTGCTGCGGATTATATCTCGTACTTCATCCTCAGTATCTTTCTGTCAAGAAATATATGTTACCTAAAAGGAGTCTTATATTGCATCAACTGTCACAAGTCAATAGAAACAATCCAAACCTTTTTTGAAATAGTATATGTCTAAGAAACACCTTTATAAAATTACATGCCACAAATTTGGCATGTAATTATTGAAATAATTTCTTGAGACTGCCGTAGCCAGAAGCAAGGTAATGACCTGCTTTACCTCCACAGTAAGGACATTAAAATTCAATGGAATCAAGTTTCCAATTCATAACAAGAAGGGGGTTTTCTTGGACTGAAATAGAAGTATATCTCCAGTATTCTTCCAAATCTCCACAAAGTCAGTTTAGCCCTTAATAACATCCTCCATGACCTAGTAATAGTGAGGGAAATGCAACTGAGAATGAAACTCTAGAGAACTGCCAATAGAGCTGCGTGATGCAGCCCACTCCCACAGCTTCCCCTCAATGCACTCATTTTAGAATATCAAATGCTGCACGTACAGTGACGAGCTTCAGTGATTCAATGTGGAATGCAGACTATGTCCTCCAATTTACATAAATATAAAATAGAAATTCCAGTGTGCAAAATACTGCATCCTCATTTGCATAGCTATGAAGAACAGAAACTTAGAGGACACTGTAAAATCTTGAGAACTTAAATCTTGCAGAGGAGAACAGCAGCTGATTTAAAAGTCAACACCTTATCTACCCACAGTTGGCACAATATATTACGCTTCTAATATTGAAAAATCACCCTTCATAAATTTGAATATACTTCTCATCACAAACTTTCTATAGAAGTTTATATGAAATCCATTTTTTTCACTAGCGGAGATTGGTTTGTATCTTTTCTGTTTGGTTCTTGAATGTGCCCCAGAGGTGATTAACATAACTTAGAAATAAAAACAGCCTCAAAAAAAAAAAAAAAAAAAAAAAAAAAAAAAAAAAAAAAAAAGAAGCCGCCTTTATGTTTGAGTCTTGGGACCTGTCTAGAAAACCTGCTTAATAAAACATGTCATGCAAACGAAATATTGACACAGGGCAGTGAGACAAAGGAATCAAACACTGGGAGTCTGGAGGTCAGACGATCATTACTGCTGGGATGAAAAGGAGACTTACCAGGCTAAATCGATTTTTGGCTAGAGCAATGAGCTCCTGGTCCCCTGGGGCACAGATGTTCAACCCAATGGGCAGTAAGCGCTTCAGAGCTGCTACAATCAGGGAGGTCTGCATGGAATACCGATCTCCTTTGCGCTTCATTTTCTTCCTTTCCTGATCAGAAACAGCTGCCTGTGGAACAAGAGAAGTGCTGGGATCTGAACCTGCTTCCCTCACATGTAGAACCACTACGACTCTTCTCTAACTTGTCACTTCGCCTTCCTCATTTTCTGCTGCTCCCTAGTTTTGAAAATCTTCCTGTCTTGAAAATAATTTTTCTCTTCCCATCTTAGCACCTTTTGCTAATTTTAAGTCCTGCCCTCAGATTCCTATTATAATTCACTGATATGCATTCCCATGTAATTTTTAGAAGAAGAATGAAAATTGTAATTTTAGGGAAGCAGATAAATATATAAAAATGCTATAGTAATTTCAGATGTTGTGTGCTTTCTAATTTTCAATGCTTAAGAAAGAAATATAAGAATAAAGGGCTTATTTTTCCTTTGACAAATGCTTGCTTTGAAATATGTGTACATGTATATGGTGTGTGTATGTGTGTGTGTGTGTGTGAGATCTAATATATTTAGAACAATTACAAAATGCATTTTTCTTTTATACAGTCTGCAAACTTGTCTTCTTAGAGCCTCAGTCCCTGTCTAATAGAAATAGAAGTAATATACTCATCGGAGTTTCATAAATACTCAGGACTATCTGGATAACCAGTTTACAATTGAATACTGCCATGTTACTCAAGGGCTCTCTCATGATGTTTTTGAGGCTTATGCTAGCAACACAGGGTCACCTTAAATGACAGAGTCTAACTTTCACTGGGTAATGAGTATTCTATCAAGAGGGCATGTTCTAATGTCAAAATGAAAATAATTGTGCCACATCCACTTATTTGTGCATGTCGAATATTTGGTAGCAGGAATTCAAACTTGCAACATAGTTCCATGATAACGAAATGATAAAGAAAAATGTTTTAATATTTACAAATATAAATACATTGTAATAGTCTTGGGCTACTGAGAAAAAAACAAAACAGAATTTAATATACAAATGATCTGTTTTACTTAACAGAAGGTAAAATATATCATAGCATGAGGTTGAAAGATATTTTTAGGACAGCAAAAGTAGTGAAACAAGTAAGTCACCATACAGCAATGGTAGCTTCTGTATTACGTTATAAAATTTATTGTGTAATAATTATACTATATATTGATATGTTAAACCTATAATTTCCTGAACCATAGCAGTAAGAATCACACTTCTGTTCCAAAAAGATGTGCTTATTGTATGAATCCCATTTTTATATGTACCAACTTGTAAGAGATTATTCTAAGTTTATTAGGAAAAACATGATGAATAATTTGTACTGTTAAGTTGATTAATTCATTAAAAAATGGATCAGTCATTTAAAATGGGCTCTTTGTTCAAACGACAACATAACTAAAATGATAAAAATAATTACCCAAATGAAGAACCACTATCCGAAAAATTAAGCAAATTGATACAAATTATACAAACATACTTCTATCCAATACTAGTAATTTAGTTTCAGCAAAGCAACATCCCCAGTGTAGTCTAAATTGTATTGGTTTGGAGTTTTCCTAGTCTAAATTTGTTGGTGTTAGAGTTTTCATTGATTTTAACCTGGAAAGTTCTTTTGGTTTTATGGTCGTAGAGGCAGACGGAGCTTATATCTGGTTTAATATTTATAAATATTTGTGAGCTTATAATAAAAATAATCAACACTAAATGCATCTACAAATTACTCAATTTTGAGTAATACTAGGCAAATGAATTCCTACTTATACACAAACAATAATTTTGCTTTCCACCCGAGAAGAAATCTAGAACTGGAAAGAGTAGTAAATATTTGAATATTTATGGGTGATATCACTGTTAATATGAAGAAATTAAATCTATAAGCAATAAAATACCCTTCTGTACACACATATTGGGTATTTTTTGTTCATTTGTTTAGTGCCTATTTCCTCGCCAAACTATGTAGCTCCTTTGGGGCAGCTGCCAAACCTGTTTTGTCCTTTCTCTGTATTCAAAGCCAAGCACTGTGCCTTGCTCATAGGAGCAGCTTGATAATTTAAACAGAGCTGCCAAAGCTAATGAATTTGCACACTTTTTCATTTTCAATCTGAGCATTTGGATCAGTTATGAAGATGTAATAACATGGCCCATATGTGGGCATATTTAAGAAGGAAAGTGGGATAACCTGAGCCCTTTCTTAAATCAATCACCTGAGTGCTTTTTCTTTTTTCTTTTTTTTTTTTTTTTGAGACAGAGTCTTGCTCTGTTACCAGGCTGGAGTGCAGTGGTGCGATCTGGGCTCACTGCAGTGTCCGCCTCCTGGGTTTAAGCAATTCTCTGCCTCAGCCTCCCAAGTAGCTGGGATTACAGGTGCCCACCACCATGCCCGGCTAAATTTTTTTGTATTTTTAGTAGAGATGGGGTTTCACCATCTTGGCCAGACTGGTCTTGAACTCCTGACCTCGTGATCCACCTGCTTTGGCCTCCCAAAGTGCTGGGATAACAGGTGTGAGCCACCGCGTCTGGCCACCTGAGCCCTTTCTTAAATCAATCAATCAATCAATCAATCAACCTCTGCTTCTGCCTCATCTCTCTCACACACCCACAAACATACAAATATGATTGTAACGATTTCACATAAAATAGCCTTAAATTTAATAGTGGACCAGGAAAATAAGAAAGACATCAAACAGACTCTTTTTCAAAGATACTATTAGATTTGAACAAAAGCAGTGCTATGGTTGCATAAAATGGGATAGTAGCAGGCTCCACCACCCTCTCTCCTCATGACCCATCTAGAAAAGACTCATTTTTCAATACCTATTCAAATCTTCACTTACCTCTGACATCTTTGACTATCTTATCAGTTTCTTTGTCTCATATGTTTTCTAAGTACTTATTAACTATACGATTGTTAGATATCCAGTTGCACTTTAACTTTATCAATTTGTTACTACAATTCATATCTGTTAAAATTTGTTGCATGCCTACAATCTGCGAGGCACAATACACACATTATTCTGATGTTTACAAGCCTCCATCAAGGTAAGCAACATGACAAACATTTTGCTGCTACCAACAATGAGGTTTAAGATGAGTGAAGGGATTATGAAGTGGCAGAGTCAGCACTCCAGGCTGATCTCCCTGTGAAAACCAAGTTCTCTCCTTTACCACATTATGAACGGGAAGCACAGTTTTAATCGGTTTCACAGGACCTTTCTGTGGGAACTTACAAAAAATGTTCTAATATTCCTACAATGAAATAGCCTACAAAAAAAAAAAAAAACCCACAAAAAGATACCTTTTTGTATTTTAGATATAGTAATTATAAAAATGAGCCTAGCTTTAAATGTCCAAGGCCTGTGATTATATTTCGACAGGAAAGGAAATCTTAAGAAAAAAATAGAGTACAATTGTGTAATGCAACAGGCAAAACCCACCTTTTCTCACACCCACAAATAAACACAGAGAACCTGTAATAAACACTATCTATCAATGCTATCTATCTATCTCTCTATCTCTCTATCTATCTATCTATCTGGTTGTTTTTTTTTTTGTTTTTTTTTTTTTTGAGACGGAGTTTCACTCTTGTTGTCCAGGCTAGAGTGCAATGGCATAATCTCGGCTCACTGCAACCTCCACCTCCTGGGTTCAAGCGATTCTCCTGTCTCGACCTCCTGAGTGGCTGGAATTACAGGTGCCCGCCACTACGCCAGGTTAATTTTTCATATTTCTAGTAGAGACGGGGTTTCACCACATTGGCCACGCTGGTCTCAAACTCCTGACCTCAGGTGATCTGACTGCCTCGGCCTCCCAAAGTGCTGGGATTACAGGTGTGAGCCACCGTGCCTGGCCTGGTCTATGTTTTTTAAAATAAGTTACAAAAACCCCAAGTTTCATAAGACAAGTTAGGAAAATTTCAAACATGTTATTACAAATTTCAGCAATGCTAGCCATATAATGTGGTGCCACTGTGGATTTCGTACCACTGCAACAGTGAGTCAGTAAATGCAAAGTAAAATAAGATACATTTTTTTAAAGCCCAATGACCACATTTATAAATTCTTTAAAATCAAATTTTATTTCATCCATATTAATTAGGTAGCTACTAGGCACCAAGCACTGCATTGAGCTTTAGAGTTACCAAGTGAATGACATCTGTTTCCTGCCCTTGAGGGACAGATATCTAAGTCACAGATGGGCTGCAGAACAAGGGGCCACGTGCCCTGCTAGGAGAAACCAAGGGCTAAGGGGGCACATGGGAAAGCAGAAAGAGAAAGGCTTCGCTGTAGAGAAAGCAGTCATATGCTATTCTGTTGGTGCAAAAGTAATCACAGTGTTTGCCATTGAAAGTAATAGCAAACACCGGGGTTACTTTTGCATCATAATACATATAGCTCTGTCATATGCAAACTGACACACTGAGTAAAAGTCAACTAAGGTCCACTTTTCACAGTGATCACCACCATTACACATATCCCTGAGGGTTTCCATGCCACACATAGGTGGTCACTTTCTTTCCTTATGGCCAATTTTCTATGCACTGGCCTCTCTCTGCCTTGTGAGCTATGTACCTTTTGCTCTATGTCAAAATGAGGTCCCTTCTCCCGGATCACCATATTCTAGACTGGCCTGCTGGCTTCAATCTATTTTCTATTTAGAAAATAGTTTTGGAACTGGCACTGCATACAAACAGTGATTATCCCTTGCTTGAGTGACTGGCTGAAGACTGATAGGAACCACTTGTCCTCTGGTTCCTGTTTCTACTTGCATTTGGTCTAAAACTGTTTGAAAGGAGTTCCTTTTTCCTTGAGAACTCTGCAGGGTGGCTCTCTCTGCTGCTTTGATGCCTCAGGCAGATGGTTTGAGATCTTGTTACAAGAATCCCTGAAGCACTTGGCATCTCTCCCTTCTCAGCATTATGGGGGAAACAATTCTGCATCCACTCCGCCTCATAGGTAACACCTACGGCAATCCTCCTGTTAACCACTCTCGGCACTAGGCTTGGGTCCTTCATGCCATCCAGGTTCAGCAGAGCCCCCAATAATGCTGAAAAACTGCAGTTCCTGTGCTTCTATGGCAGACATAATTACTCTCAGATCTGTCCACATACTGAAACCTGTGGACATCATGATTTCTTGAGCACAACGATATAAAACATGAACGTGTTGACTCTATTGTTTGAACTAGAAACATTATTTCAAGCAAAAAAAAAGTGTATTATACCTACATGATATAAAATTACAAATGATTTTTTTAAACTTCTAAAAATAAAGAGGCTAAGTATAATCAGTAATTTCTAAAAATTTCAACGTTATTACTATTATTTTCTTTCTTTCTTTCTTTTTTTATAAAGATGGTCTCACTCTGTGGCCCCACTTGGAATACAATGATGTGATCATAGCTCACTGCAGCCTTGAACTCCTGGGCTCAAGCAACAATCACACCTCCGCCTCCTTAAGTGGCTAGAACTACAGGTGTGTGCCATCACACCTGGCTAATTTTTTAACATATTTTGTAGAGATAGGGTCTTACTATGTTGCCCAGGCTGGTCTCGAACTCTTGGCCTCAAGCAGTCCTCCCACCTCAACCTCCCAAAGCCCTGAGAATTACTATCATTTTCTATACGTTTTGTCTCAGAGTACTATAAGTCATATACTTAAAAAAAAAAAAATTCAATTTTTTAGTTTGAGAAAATTTGTGGGTCAGAAATGTTAAAATTAAGAGGCTCTTACCCATTACTTCCCTTTTTTCTTCTTGCAAATAAGACTAAACTGTGTTACTATTAGCCAATGTTTATGGATGTCTCACTCTACGTTCTACAATGTGCAGTGCTTTGAGAGCATCTTTGAGAATCACTGGACTCGACTGATGGAAAAGAAGGAAAAGGATGTCTGTACAGGAATACACAGACTTCTCCTGGCATTAGCTTCTAGTTCATGTGCTGTCAGGTCAAACACATGGCATTCAAAACTCTAAACAAGACTAGGCCTATCAAGCAATGCCATTCTATTTCCCTGGTGGCAGATCGCAGAGCAGGCCTGAGGATCCGGTGACTTCTGGAGGTCAGTGGAGTGGGTGTACCCAAGCTACTCTGTTGCCAGAATGTATTGAGTCAGTAGAGGCTAATTTCCTCTGCCTGAGTACCACTCATTTTTGGATCTTTGGCCATTTGGCTGCCAAATATCACCACATGTAATATATTTATTTCTCATTTAGCAGGAATTACATATACAAAGCCCTTTAAACATGCTGTAAATGGAAGCTCCTCCCCTCCCCAATACGATAGAGAAAACAAAAATCTAGAAAGATACTTCCCACTTCATGTGTGAGAACCTGGAATTCGTCCATGTGGCTTTTAAATAATGCAGCGAATTTATTTTGAGGTCTGTTTATTTGGTACACATAAGCACACAAATATTCACACTTGATGGATACATAGTGTTGACGCGTTAAACACACATTATACTGACTGATAATTTTGCGAGTGGGGTGTGGTGTGTGCATATGTGTGAAGAATGTCTTTATTCTGTTGCTCTGACATCTTGGAGAATTGCTAATCTTGGGGAGATAGCAGTCCCTCCCATAGTTAGGCAATTCCTAGAGAAGGAAATGGGTTCCTTGGTCCGGGGAGCTTGCTTTTTGTACACAAATTAATCCAGAGCCCACAACGACCCCCACCTCCCCCATGGGGCTCTTATACTCTGGGCTACTATCCACCTGCCCTAATTACTCTGGGACTAGGTACCAGGCAACCAAGAACAGCCTCTCTGATGTGGAGCCCCTGAAAATTATTCAAATTAGCCAATCAGAAACCCATTTGCCATGCCTTGTCCATTCCTTCCAGTGGAGACCATGAGGCAAGCTCTCACCCACGTCTTCTCCTTGCTTTCTCTGCCTCCTGACCATCCCTGACCCCTCCCCAACGGCCCTGCTTGGCATGGCATGCCTCCTGTTTCCAGGGATCTGTCAGTAGAAATGTCTTCCTTCATGACAGTCATTTCCCGTCTGCATGTCTTAACCACACCTGATTCAAACAAATTCCGGTAACCTTAAAACAGCTTGCGTGTTTTAACCAATTTATAACATTACCAAATCTATCAGATTCCAGTTACAAATCTTTGAAAATCTAAAAAAAAAAAAAAAGTCAATTCATGAAAGTCACATTCGGATATTTTCTAGAAGAGTGAAACAGTTTATAGTCATACCTTGGACATCTTGGACTTGGTATCAGTAATAAGGAAAGACATATTGTTGATTTCATTCTGTACAACGAAGTTCTGCTCTTCTCTTTTGAAATTCTGAGAAGTTGCAAAGGAAATTTCAGTTAAAACCACTTAAAGAAGTCTTTGTAATTAGAGGTTACACAGAACCTGCAAGCTTTTACAGTGATAAGTATTAATTTGATATATAAGAAACATCAAAAAAGGATACAAGTATTTCTTGAGTATCTAATGAGGGTACTTGGCTGGGAGCAACAGTTCTGTGAACTAGATATGAATATGCACATTGCAAAGATGGGAAAACTAAGGTTCAGAAAATGTAATTGCAAGATCACACGTTTACCAAGGAGTAGCATGAATATTCAAACCCCTGATTAGCTGGTGAAAGGCATATACTGATTCCTAAGATTAATTAACCTAGACTTTCCAAGGACGCATAGAACTATGATGTAACTTTCTATTCTGTCAGATTTTTTACCTCTTTTTAAAATACCATATCATTTTTTATTCCCTTTTAATTTGGGAACATAAAAAGACTGGCAAAATCAATTTATCTTTAATATTTGGGGAAAAACATAACACATTAGCCAATTTATGTTTATATTAATATATGCCCATGAGATTCAAAAGTACATATTCAGATATTTTTGCTTATTCTTGAAAGTATGATTAGACGTTCATCTGAAAACCTACTGATTATGATAAATACTCTTGTTCCAAACTTTAATCTTGTACCTAAATCTAAAGACACTTCTTCGGCATTTTACTGATTGAGGAAGCTGAAGATTTGCAGTTCTTCAAATAAAAATATACAGTTTTTTTTGTTTGTTTGTTTTTGTTTTTGTTTTTTTTTTTGAGAAAGAGTCTTGCTCTGTCGCCCAGGCTGGAGTGCAGTGGCGCAGCCTCGGCTCACCGCAAGCTCCGCCTCCCAGGTTCACACCATTCTCCTGCCTTAGCCTCCCCAGCAGCTGGGATTACAGGCGCACGCTGCCACGCCCGGCTAATTTTTGTATTTTTAGTAGAGACGGGGTTTCACTGTGTTAACCAGGATGGTCTCAATTTCCTGACCTCGTGATCCGCCTGCCTCGGCCTCCCAAAGTGCTGGCATTACAGGCATGAGTCACTGCGGCCCGCAAAAATATGCAGTTTTTAGTAATTTTTTCCTGGTATCCCCCTATTTTCCCATTAGGCATTCTAGGTGAAGTAACCCAACAGGAAAAACAAGAGGCAAAAAGCAAAAATTCATCTTTGTTCTTTGGCAACTCAAAATGGACTGATTTCTTCTGGAATTTATTTATTTATTCATTCATTCATGTATGTATTTAGGGATAGGGTCTGGCTCTGTCACCCAGGCTGGGATGCAGCTTGCAATGATAGGGCACTGTAGCCTCAAACTCCTGAAGTCAAGCAATGTTCCCACCTGTCACTGGGCATGCATATCTATCTATCTATCAGTCTGTCTATCTACATATCTAATCTATTTATCTTTTTAGAGTGGATTTTGAATTTTCCTTCATAATACCTTGGATGATCTATTGCATCCCCCAAACGTGAGTTACACAGGATAAATAAATTTATATCCTTGTGAAGATACAAATTTGCATGTTAAGAAATCATTATTTCATATATCCTTTCTGAGTGATTGTTTTTATGTATGTTTTTATATAAAGTTTCCTATTAAGTTTGACAGACTCCTCAGATATAGGCAATAAATAATATTTATTATCCCAAATATTAAATGTGAATACTTTATTTAAAAATAATGTGTTCAAAGTAATTTGATTTGAACACATAATATTTTGCAGTCTGATGAAGTAAACTGGTAAGATAGCTCAGATGATAAAACTGAGGTTGAAATTTTTATTTTTATTTTCTGTCTCCCATTTACAGAGTGACATAGAATTATAATAGATATAAAAATTCTAAACTTTTAAAATAATTCAGGATAATCATCAATGCTGAATTACCTATATTCTGCTAGTTACTGAAAATAAATGATAGAATACTACACAATTCTTATGATAGAATATTATACAATTCTTATGGTTAAAATCTTTTCCAGATTTAAAAATGTATAGTTCCACTTGCACTATACAAAATAGTGAAAATTCACCAAATATGTCCTTTAGAAATTCTATCAATAGGATTGTCAGTAGAAAGAAGCTTTATTTTAAAAGCCAACAGATTCTAAAATGTGAGCCAAACTAAATTCCTGTAGATGTAAAGTGTGTGAAGATAAAACAAATTTATGGAAGCAGTACCTTTACAAGTAATATGAGTGTGTGTTATTGTTGGAAATCGCTAGTCTATTTAAGCACATCTCAAACTGAGTACTGCATATTAAGAGAACAGAATGCCAAGAGATAGGGAAAGCTAAATAGTAAAAATAGTACATCTTAATGTAACGTCAATATTAGTCTAAAATTTAGGGGCAAATTGAAAATATGTTTATGGAGTGCAATTAAAAATTCCTGTGATTTTTTTAAGAAGATAAATTGCAAAACCCAAAAGAGGGTTTATATTCCCTCAAACTCCTCAGGGGAACCTATCCTCTCTCCTCAACTGTTACATGAAATCTAGGAGGCAAGTAGGCAGGTGCCTACCAAACAGTAGGTGTGATCTGTCAATGTTTTCACACTCACATGGGATTTCGACCAGTAGATAAACACTTCTGCCACCATGCGGAAGAGCTCCTCTGCTTCCGGGTTAGGCTCCTTCAGCCACTTTGCCCTGGATCACATAATAAATAAAGCGGTTTCACAGCTACTCCTTAAAGTTAATTTTAAAAAAAATCACCCTCCTAAAGTTAAATGTACTGACCACAGAGCTCATGGTGGTTTCAGCATAGAGCTGTAACATTAAAAAAAAATTTAAACATCATAACTGTCAAACTGTTAACTTTTACATGCCAAATCAGAATGAAATGACCAACTTTGATTTTAAGACGTTTTAATTTTAAGCCGAAAATTAACTTACCTATAAACAATTAATTATGTTATCATTACCAACAAGCTCATGGCCAAATAGTGAATGAAGCGATTCAAGAAGGACATGTGAGCCAAGAAAGGTTATCACTGAATTGGGGAAATTACTAAATTACTTTTGATCATACCTGTTATAGTCCACAAATCTAATCAAGAGAGGGTAGAAGGCATAGAGATCTCTGGCCAGCGTGGTGAACTCATCTAGGATGAGGAGTTCAGCCTCTGACATGTCCCCCCTGGCCTCGGCTTTCAGGTGGTCTTCCTCAGACACCACCATGGCTGCCTTTTTCTTGAGTTTCTCCATTAATGGCAAGAAATGAGTTTTCAAGAGCTGAGGTTTCACTTTATTTATTATAGGCTGGGAAAACACTGTTTAAAGACAGACATTAGTATTCTGCTCTGTATAACCATTCATTAAAATGATGAGAGATTATAATTATAATTGCAACATGATTAAAGCCTCCTTCTCCAGCACATGACTTCCTTAAGGGTACAGCTCATGCCTCAGCCATTTTTCTAGTCCAAGCTCTAATTGCATAGTTGCTATTACAAAAAAATGATTACTAAGTTGAATTCAATGATCTTCCTTGTTTTTAGAATAGATTGATAGCTAATTTAGAATGGAAAAAAAGATTTTCAGTCATTTTGGAAATCATTTTCACACAATAAATAAAATCCCCAAATGGAAAAGTTTCCCCTAACCCTTAGAATAGGAACAAGCTCTGCTACATAATTACTACATGAGACTATATGCAGTTATCTCATTTTAACTATCCCCATCCTTGGCCCAATGGAAGAGTTAGATTACATGGAACACTGCTCTCTTACTTAACAATAACCATAGTTATTAGTAATAGTTCTAAACTTGATTAGGCCATTTTTTAAAACTATTTTTTCCCTGAAGGTAACATATATTCATAGGGGAAAAGTACACAAGAGAAAAGTTAAAGTCAACCATAATCATCTATCCAAATTAATACGTCATTGCTGCATTTCTTTGGAGTTTTCATCAGTAGATACATTAATATACATATATATTACACACATAACATTCTGAATTCATTGTTTTAAAACCTCTTCATTTTGCCCTTCATAATATGAGGATTTCCAGGGCATAAAACATTGTTGGAACTTTAACATTTAAAGATGACATAATATTCTGGCATGTAGACGTACACACCTTATTTAGCCATATTCTAGTTATTGGATACTTAGATTGCTTTTCAATATAAATAATGCAATAATTGTAGATATTAGACTACATTTTTTTGGTTTACCCATTTTTTGGTTTAGCCACAGATGGCTAAAAGTGGACTGCTAAAAGTTGAACGTTTTATTTTTGTCTCTGGCTATAGACTCATTAGTTTTTCCTGCTGTGTTTATTGATTAATCTTACAGAGACTGACAAGTCAGAAAAATATTTACTTAAAAGTAGTAACTATTTAAAATAAACCCAATGCCTGTTTTTATCTACATTAAACAACAGCATGACAAATAATGCTATTTTTGAGTAAAGAAAATATTAATAAAAATCGTGATGGGAAAATTCTAGTTTATATATTTAAAATTCTTTTGGAAATAAAACAGATTTAAGCGGTACAGTGTCTTCTTCTGATTCTTACCTGCTAGCCTCTTCATCCAGGCTCCCTCATCAATCCCCAAGTTATTATATATGATTTTCAATATGTTCCCTAGAAGTGTGTTCATGTGCTCTGAGTTCAGGGCTGTGCAGCACATCTCGGCCCGTTCTGGATTGTTCTCAGGCCCATGCTCCCACCAACGAGACATGTAGCTGCAAAGCATGGGCAGTATGACTTCCATGACATGTGGCATTTGAGTGTAGCGAATGCCGGACTCAGCTAATTCCACGATTTCTTCCATGAGTTTCTCCAAAGACGGTATATTTGGACAAACATCTTCCACATTAGTTGGCAAACTGAGAGCTGGAGAAGTACACATAAAAAATGGATTATATTCAAAGAAAGTACTGAGATGATATGGCAGATTTCCACAGGCAACTATTGCATTTTGGACTTCAAAACTTAGCAAGATCTGGCATGCCTTTAACTGGCTCCTTCTCCTGTTTTTCAAGGTAGCTATTTCAAAGCTTCTGTTTCCTCCAAGTTCCTACTGTACCAGCACTCCCAGAAAACAGCCATTCCTCCTACTTCACAGCAAACAAGAGTATCAAATATTTCCTCCTCTAACTTTGCTGCTCTCATGACCTACAAGCCATTTATGACTGGCTCCACACTGGCCTCCTTTCCCCGTCTCTGAGGACGTCTTGAAGTCCCCCACTCATGGCTCCACCGAATACCCGATGCCTTGCTCAGGCCCGTATTTTCAGGCCTCTAATACCTCATACCCAGGAGATACTCAAATCTTTCCCGGATTACTTAGCTTTCCAGGCACTCTCCATCCGCAGGAACAAAGCTGCTTTTCACTGCGCAGCAAAATCACACTTTACAACTCATCTTTCCAACGGTTCAGTGGCATTGCATATCCCTGACCAAATTCCCTTTTCCTAAAACTCCCTTCTTTCTTAACATCAATGTGTCCAGCCTTTCTGGCTCCCTCTGAACGTTGTCAGTGTCCTTACTGACTCTCTTCTCCTTGCTGAACTTTGTTGTTGTTGTTGTTGTTGTTGTTGAGACGGAGTCTCGCTCTGTGGCCAGGCTGCAGTGAGGTGGCACGATCTCGGCTCACTGCAACCTCTGCCTCCCCGGTTCAAGCGATTCTCCTGCCTCAGCTCCTGAGTAGCTGGGATTACAGGCACGCAGCACCGTGCCCGGTTAATTTTTGTATTTTTAGTGGAGACAGGGTTTCACCATGTTGGTCAGGCTGGTCTTGAACTCCTGACCTCGTGATCCACCTGCCTCGGCCTCTCAAAGTGCTGGGATTACAGGCGTGAGC